ACTCCTTACATTGCTTCCTGCTGGGACAGGCTGAGCCCAGAGAAACTGAGCAGTGGCAGTAGAAAGAAATCCCCTCTCTCTGTTTCCTTCTCACGGGCCTGTGGTAGGCTGGTTCCTTTCCCACCATTCCCCACACTAGCATTCAGGTCCAGGTCTTCTATAGGCTTTGGTGCCTAATAAGCAGCAAGAGCCGGAAGGATTTGAAGGCAGCAGAGAGCCTGGTGCCATTTCACACTCTTGGGAAGTGACAGGCTGACGTGTTGGGGGGGAGGGGGGGTCAGCGATCCAGGGAAAGCAGTGCTGTGTCCCAGCTGTGAATGAGCATAAGCCTCAACCCACAGCCGGTTGGTTGAGTGCCCTGTAAAAAAGACCACCAGCAGGTATTTAAACATCAGAATGAATTGCCTGCAGCTCACAGGGGCTGCATTGTGTGTGTGTGTGTGTTACTTGCTGGGAACATGCCATCCCGATGAGACAATCACAGCGACTGACAGCGAGGAGAATGCGACCATCAGTCACGTGGAGAAGGGCAGAGACAGGGAATGTTACTCTCTTTTATTTCCTTCATGGTGGTTATTTAGCTGCAAATACATGAGCAGAACTCTTGGCTGCCAGAGTGCTGAGATACCAGGAGCAGAGCGAGGGGGAGGGGAGAGGGGGAAATGAGGGAGTGGGAAGAAGGTTCTGTCTCCGTTTCTCACTGCAGTCACCTGTCAGTCACCCAGCTGCACATCTCGCTCGATGTCTGCTTTAGTTACATAATGGTATTGCAGTGCCAGCTGCCCAGCTGGCTAATAAAATCTCACGGAGGAATTTACAGACAAGTTTGCTAATAAATCCAGGCACATCATTGCTAGAGCCGTGCAAATCCGCAGATATCCGCTTTACAGCCACAACTCATTTTTGGGGAGGCAGATACAAATTTGTATCTAGAACCCTGCAAATTTGTGGATATCCACTTTATATCCACGGGTATCCACAGATATGGATGCAGATCTCCGTAGCACATTTTTGCAGCTACAGATATGAATGGGGATACAGAGTTTGTATCTGTTTAGGGCTCTACCATTGAGGCTCCAGCACAACCCTTGAGTGAGGGTAATGCACCACCACCACCAACTATTAATGTGCCAACCCATGCCACCTCCCTGCATCTGCCCTTCTATCTGCATACCATGGTGGCAATGGCCACACCTTGGAGAGAGCTGTGCGTCGTGTGCATTAACTGTGCAGAAAATGTCAAATTCTTAGGCTGGCCTTGCCCTTTATCCTGCAATGTTCTTGGAAGAGAGGAGGTTGAGCCTGGACTAGCTGTGAGCTCCCCTTTTCCCCCACTGACAGCTGCTGGGAGCTCATCTCTACAGACAGGGGAGGGCTCAAATCAAAGGGAAGCCAGAGTACTTTGTTTTCCTCCACCACTCATGTGACTGGGGTCAGCATGTCTCTGTGTCCTCTGTTCCACTGGAATAGGTGCACTAAGTGGATCGCATGGTGCTTGTTGTTCCATTGGAAAGTGAAGTTGTAACGTGGGCTCTTGGGCCCCCAAACAGTAGTGTTATTAATCTGTCTGGTTCATATTGATATTGCAATAGGATCGAGAGGCCCGGATCAGCCATGCTAGGCGCTGTACAAACACGTAGCAAGAATCACACTTGCAGCACAGAGAGATGAATTGGAAGCCAGCCTGTGGTGGTGGTGCCCACAGTGGTTACCAAGGAGATGGGGAATGGGGACCTTGAGATGAAGTGAGGTGCAAGAACTTCCGAATCACCTACTCCAAAGTGTCCCCAGCTCTCGGGGGTTTTGCTAGGAGCTTTTTAATGCCCCCAGGATATGAATCTTGGCATCTCAACTTTGCTGGCCACTTTCCCTGGGAAAACTGAGAAAAGCCACT